TGAGCTGCCATGCACACACACAGCAAGGAGTGTGTGCTAGGAAACATTCTGAGTGCATATTCTATACATGAGTTTTGGGGGATGTTTGGATGTGGTTTGACTACCTTCCAAAGCCAGTTAAACTGGGCTGGTAGGCCCCCATCACCTTCCTCCCATTTCTGCCACCCCAATTGTCTTACTGGTGAATATACTCATGATCTCCACAAGCAGGATTCATCTTTCTCCAGTCCCCCACCAACTCAGACCAAGATATCACATCCAACTCAGCCCCATTGATCCATCGGGCTTGGAATAGAATCACTCTTGTAGTCCTGAGGGCTGGGTTCCATTACCACCATTGGGGTCCCACATAGCACTCTTGGATCTACAGCATTCTCCGGAACCTATGTTACTTCACAAACCTGTGATTTGTCCTGTGTTAGCTCTTCCACCACTACACTGTTTGGGGCTTGGTCAGAGAACTGGCCTTCAGTCTTGGTCACTACTCCTCAGTTTTGGCCAACTTCCCTGAATATAGGTCCTCCAGCCCAGCTCCCAGGATCAGAGCTGGCCCCACTGCAGACTATTGGCCAGGGATTTCACAGGACTGATTTGCTCATACATGTCCTCCTGGTTCCCTCTCTCAATCCAGAACCCATGGAAAGGACTCTCGTCTACTGTACTCATTCCATTTGAGTAGTCACTTCTCTTCCAACCCCCTAAAACATGTCCCCTCAGAGCTACCATTCCCAGAATTCTAAGTGAGTCTAATCTGAGCTCTGCCTTGGTCACAAGACTTTATCTCTAGAATCAATTTTTGGAGCATCAGCTTTCTCACCCCAGCCCAGCCTGGGGTCTAGATTCATGTCTGTGCCTGACCCCCTTGCTGCCTATCTTTTGGCAACAACTGGGCATGAGACAAAGAGCATACTGTGAATATTTCTTGTTAATTGAAAAAAAAAAAAACCCACCGGAAGTCTTAGGCTCATGAATTAAAGGCAAATTTCAAAATAGCCACAGCAAAACATCATGATACAAACGGAAACATGATCATATTCATTTCTTGAATTTTCCGTCTCATCAAGATAAACCACCTGAAGACAGGAAATATCAAAACATTTTGAACCAACCATCCTGCCATGCTTCTGTCCATGTGGACATGCTTACCTCAAACCACTGCCCGTGAGACTGCATCTTGAGGATGACACAGGGGTCTGGTTTGGAAAGGGCATCTCTGTCGGAAATTCCTTTGCATGCCACACGCAGCTCCACTTTGGTCAGGCAGGGGCTGTTGAAGATTCCCAGCGTGTTGGCAGCCGACTCGTAAATGTTGCTCATCTTCTTCATTCTGTTGTAGGCAAGTAAAAGAAGAAAAAAGACACACCAATCATTGCAGTATCTGTCAAAAGAAAAGCCCCCTAGTCACCCTTCAGGAAATTGATACACAGTTTCAAATATTGAAGGCATATTTATTATCTCACTTTCCAACCTAGTGACATAATTCCAGTGAAACAAATCAAAAACCAAAATAACAACAACAAAAACAGGCACTGGTGCAGACTTGACGAAGAACACTATTTCCCTGTATGATTCGCATGGTACAATTTTTAGTCTGTGAAATAAAATTAACGAATTAGTGCAGTAGACTGCAAACTGTAATCCGGCTCTAAATTAAGTGCATGGCTTTTGTGAGATTTTACAGATTTGTTGGTTAATCAATTTAATCATATCTTGAGTTTTTAAGACTCCCTAAAAATCCAACATTCCTCCTATGTTATGGTACAGAGAAATATATTGTTCCACCTGAAAAAACAGCCAAAATTTCCCATCCTTCAAGCCTGGCCCACATTAAGATGCCATCAGCAAGCTAGCTGCAAGAGGCCCAGCATCTGAGTTACTGTCCAATGTGCAAAAGTCTATTCTCACCTTACCCTTCCCCACTCCCACCTGCCACATCAGAACTCAGAAACAAAAAGGGGGCAAGTGAGAGGAGAGGAAAAGCACAAAGCATATGATCCTGAACTCACGGAAACAGCAGCTACACATAACACAGCAGGCCCCCACCCATCTCCACATGACACCCTATACAACGACACTTTGCATCCCAGAGACCCAGGAAACAAGGATCCACCAGAGGCCACCAGTGCTCTCCACCTTCTCTGAGTGTAAGGACATGAGAAAATTTTTTCAGGAGCAAAATTTGATAACCTTCTGATGGTATCCTGTGTCCCTGTAGATTCATTAGAAAAATGATAATGGCTTCCTCCACCTCACATGGCATTGGTGGCTATAGTGGAATTTCTTCACCTATAAAACAGGGATAATTCCTCCCTCTCTCCTTCCCTTCCTTCACAAATATTTAGTGAGCTTCCCTGTGGTACTGGCATCTTACTAGGTTCAAGTGAGTACACCATGCTTCCTCTTTTACAGGGAGATGACTGTGACTCAATGTCCCACATACACTCACATACATGAACAGCGTTTTATTGTAACACAGGCATGCTCGCTCATTTACACATTAGCTGTGGTTGCTTTCACTACAATGGCAGAGTTGAGTAATTGCCCACAAAGCTTAAAATATTTACTATGTGGCCCTCTTCAGAAAACGTTTGTTCAGCTCAGTTCTAAAATATCAGGTAAAGAGAATTTGTAGTTGGGGAGAGTTGCAAGTCTATTTTAGTATGTGTTGTGAAATTAGTTTGAGGATAAGAGTTCCTCTATCTTCTACCAAACTGATCATTAATAGGGACTTTCGGATATTTGTTTTTTTACCTATGAGGAAATTTAAGCTCAGAGAGGACTGGCAGCTTGCCCACATCATGCAATTATTCTAAAGGCAGAGCTGGGGCTGGAATGCTAGTTTCCTATCTCCCAGCCCAGTGCTATTTCTACCACAAGTAAAACCTTTAGCTGGAGAACTGTTCAAATCTATAAGGAATAGTGGATATAACAACTTTCCCTGATTTATTTCAACCTCCCTACAGTCATACTTCCCTTCTATTTTTAAATAAATTTTATTCAAATATAGAAAATACACAAGTCATAAGTCCACAGCTTAATAAATTATTATTGTTCCATTTTTACAAGTTGTGAGCAGGCCAATAATTAAAGCAACACAGGTGATAGTGTATACGAAATGAAATTTACAACAAAGCAAAGAGAGGGAAGGAATTAGCTAGTGGGAAGATGGCTTAGTGTTTAGACAGGTTTGGAAGTATGTTATGAACTCTATCAATTTTTCGATAAAGACAGCTTATTCTTCAATCAATGTCTTCCTGAATTCTGCTTTTCTCATTGCCTTAACTGGTTCCTTGGAATCTACATTCCTCTTCTGCAGTCTTGACTGGTCTCTCTTGTATCTAGGAGCCATTCCTACCCCTGTCCCTATCCTTGAAGGCTCATGCCCATGTCCATCCCCTTCAAGACCCACTGACTGTATTCTACAGCACACAAGCTTCTATAGAATGGGACATCTTCTTGAATACCAGTTTCAATTATAAAGTATAATGCAAAAAAGACTTGACAGGGAGACACATATTTCCAGATTGAAATCTTGGCTCCTCTACTTACTATCCATGTGTCTTTGGCAGGGTACTCAACCTCTTAGATAGTAACACCTACCTTGAAGAGTTGCTGTAAAGAGCAGATGAAATAATATTTGTAATATGATTAGCACAATACTAGGTATGCTCTAAAATGAGCTCTAGATGCTCTAAAAGTGATAACTATTATTATCGTATTCTGACTTACCTTAAGATAAAATCATTCGTTTCTCCTACTACCAACTAGAAATCTCTTAGATTTCTCACCACTGCTTTAACACCAAAGTTCTACTAACACATTTAAAGGCCTTCTATCTTTGAAGCCCAAACAATCCAGGCATACCACACTCCACCTAAGAGCACACAACCTCTCAAATTGGTAGTTTATCTGGGGATTCATACACATGAGCCAATAATTCTAACAGGTTCACAAGTCAGACAGTAAAACAATGGTGCCAGCTCTAAGAATATTGTGAAGCTGATTTATCAACTTAATGGGATAGGCACTTTACTCTTCAGTGTTTTTCCCAAAGCATTAGCTGCCTCCCTGGGAATCCTATATTCCACAGAAGCCCTTTCTTGATCCATGTGACAGATGGTCACATGTCATGTGCAACTCACAAGGTATCAGATAGGAACTGCAGAAGTCCCACAATGCAGAGGGATCAAAGGTCTCATCCTCCTTCATTTATTCATTTTCAGGTTATTACAACAGTTTTGGTTCACATGTACCTGGCTACGTGGATTTCAGACAATAATATCTAGTTTTAACTATCCCTCCCCTGCAAATGTATCATTGCAAAGAAATCTCTGAATATAATACAATGATACAGGCAAGGAAACATGAAATGGCAAAGGTGACAGGTCTGTTCCTAGTCCGAGGTTTCCATCAGCCTTTGTACTTGCTTAAAAATGGTGGCAATACAATCACATGAGTTAAAAGTTGCCAAAAATAATTCAAAATTATCAAGCCTTCTTGAATTATGGGTTGACACAATAATCATTGATGGAATATCCCACACCAAGTGTATGTAGTACTTACTCTGAATTATTAATGATAATAAATTTAAATAGTTTATAAAAGAATGAACAAATGAACTGGAGGTACATGTTTAGGGATGTTTTTATCAATGTAATTTGATCCAGCAATTTTACAGATCACTTCTTTAAGAAATGGGAAACACTTGGAGGATTTGGAGCTGGAAATGGACGTGAGCAAATAAGTGTTTGATAAAGACCCATTTGGTATCAATATGATGGCTGGACTGGAGGAGAGAAAAAATGAACTGGAGGTACATGTTTAGGGATGTTTTTATCAATGTAATATTTGATCCAGCAATTTTACAGATCACTTCTTTAAGCAATGGGAAACATTTAGAGGATTTGGAGCTGGAAATGGACGTGAGCAAATAAGTGTTTGATAAAGACCCATTTGGTATCAATATGATGGCTGGACTGGAGGAGAGAAAAAAGTTTGTGAATGTATAAGGCTGTTACACTGGTCATTTCTATTCCTCCCCTCCCCTTTGAGTCTCCTTCCTTCCCTCTGCTCAGGGCCCTGAAAGGCTGACCTCCATTGACTGCCAGCACACTGTTGGTAAGTTTCCTGTTGAGTTTGAATTTTATCAATGCAGACCTGGGAAAGGGAAGAGAGAGAGAACAGCATATCTCTTACCAACTTCTACCCTGATCCTTAGCAGTGGCCAACCCAATGGCCAGAGCTCTATCCAAGGCTTCAGCTCTCCCTGGGCCTCAGTAACACCACTTCCTCCCCTTGCTCCTTCAGGCTTTGGGTAGTAATGATTTTCTGCTAAGAGATTCTCTCCATTGTTGGCTTTAATGAAATGGCCATGTTGGGGAGGCAAGGAACTGAGAATAGCCTTCAGCCAATAGTCAAACAGAAACTGAGACCCTCAGTCCAACAAGATGAAAGAAAATGAATTCTGCCCACAACCACGTGAGTTTGGAAGTAGATCATTCCCCAGGTGAACCTCAGATGAGACAGCAGCCCTGGCTGACATTTAGATTGCAGCCTTATAAGACCTTGAAACAGCAAATCCAACTAACCAGTGACCATATTCCTCACTTATAGAAACTGTGGAGATAATAAATATGTGCTTTTAAGCTGCCAAGTTTGTGGTAATATTTGTATGCAAAAAGAGATAACTAATACAAAGAGATCCAGGGTGTGTATGTTTGTCTACAAACTCCTTTAGGTCAGGAACTATTTCTTATACCTTACTGCATCCCTAGTGCTCCCTAGTGCTCATGTGGATAATATTTGTGGACTGGTTATGAAACCAACGTTAACCTTCATCTCTAGCGGGATATGATACCGGAAAGAAATGCAGGGTCACTGAGATAAAGCTCCCAATTTTCACAGTCATACTCAGGATCCCCGGCTTACCTTCCTGCCCATGCACAAATGAAAGCCCTGATCAGATATATTTAAGCTCACAAGCTTCTGTACCTGCCCAGAGGTAACAGCAGTCCTGACCTTGACTTTGGAGATGGTTCACAGGCAAGCGAAGTCAAATTGTTTGGCCTTGGCCCAGCTGAAGCTCACTGCCGAAAGGCGATCGCAAGGTATGGCTCTGTCAATGAATGATCAGCTACCTCCAGCTCCAGATAAGTGGAGTAAACAAGCAATTTCACACTCTGTTAGAGAACAGGATTAATATGGCCAGATTATCAATACATTTTCCATGGCCTATTTAAATCTTCTTTGTTGCCTTTCATACAATACCCTGGTTTTATGGAAACTAATGTCTATGGAGAATTATTTTGATGAAAGCTGACTTTTGGC